TGCTGCTGCTGCTGCTGCCCGCCAGCTGCCGGGCGCTGGAAGGTGAGCGGCGTCGGGGGGCGGCCCGAGCCGGGCACGGAGGGTGCAGGCCGCGCGGGTGGAGCGCCCGTCGGGGGAGGCTGCCGGACTGGCGCCCACTTCGAAGACCGAAGGACGGGTGGGAGGACGCCTCCCTCCCCCGGAGCCGCCCAGGTGGTTCGAACTGGCTACCAGACGGGCGGTCGAGGGCACCTGGATTGAGATGAGGGTCCTCAGCCTTTGTGGGAAGACCCTACACTCACGGCCAAGAAGCAGGGTGGTCCTCGGTACCTCGCTGAGACGAGGAAGGGTGGGCGATGCAACCCTAGCAGGGGGCCACGAGGCTGTCCTGGGTCTCCTCTTGGGGGGCGGGGAAGACCACTGGCTAGGAACCCGTTGGAGTTAACTGAGAGTGTGAATGCTCGCACCCCGCCTTGTCTGGGGGTGACTGCGGGGGAGGAGAGGCGGGGGCCGCTCATTGTTTATGGTTTACTGAGCGCCAAATACACACACGGTGTTGTGCGTGGGCGGGCATTGCACGGGGCTTTGCGCTTACTCGGACTCACCCCAGCCGTGTCCTCGGGTCCCCAGTGAACCCCGAAAGTTGTAGGGGGCGCTCGGTGCAGCGCCGGCGCCAACCAGAGGGGAAAGGCCTGGTTTTCCATTGGGTTGTGTGAAACCTGCCAAGACTGCCAAGGGGGTAGCTGCAACTTCAAAAGGCTGCACTTGGAAGAACAGCCTGGGGGTTGTTGGCTCCGGCTAGTGAGCTCGCACAGAGGCCACTTGACACAATCCTGCGGGGACAGAAGCACCTCGCTGATCACAAACAATGGAGAGACTCACACACAGTTTACAAAAACTTGGGGGTCATTAAACTGAGGGGAGAGGAACCTTCCTTTATGTGGGAGTGCATGGAGCGGGAGAAGATGCCACAGAAATTTGGAAGAAACTGGAACACAGGCAGTGTTTATTTTAAGCATCTTTTAACAAACCTAGTCACTTTCTTAGTTTAGGAACAAAAAATGGGATTCTGCCATAACTTGGTTTGCTCATACGTTCACACTTGTAAACTGGAAGGCTGGAAGGGAAAATGGCATAGAGTTCAAAGAGAAAGGCCAGGCTGCCTCTGGGGCTTTCTGGTTTCCTCCAGGGGAGGTTTGTAGGATCTCCCACCCCCTTTTACCTCGGGGTCCACCGGGGCTGACGGTTATGCACAGGAGTGGACACAGGCAGAGGCAGACAGGCACACAGAGGTCACGCCCACACTGGCACACTCACGTGCACTCACCCACACGTGTGTGATAGGATCACAGGCCAGGCGTGAGAAACCAGTGTGGGGTTTTGTTGCTCACTGCCTAAGGGTGTGAGTCAGGGAACCTGTTTCCAGGTCTGTGTCTCAGCTGGGGAGAGGCAACACCAGCATACACACAAGCACTTACACACTCATTCGGCTGTATGTCGGTGTGTATGCCAGAGCCTGTGCAGTGGGGTGTGGTGGGTGCTGGTGCTCAGAATGGAGTGGGGGGGGGGGTTGTGTGAACGAGGGCTACAGTAGGGAGGCTCACCCTTCTACCTCTCTTCCCTCTTTCTGCCCTCAGTACTTCCAGACTTTCCAAACCTTACACCCCTTCCCAGTCTTGCGGTCTGCCGGGCCCCAGCTGGGAACTGGTATCTGGGTGTCCAGGCCGAGAGGCTGATGAGGAGGCATAGTCCAGATCAACTGGCAGCCACTGTGGGGCCTTTTCATGGTGGCTTCTAGACTCTGGTCCACCAAGGCCATCTCCTTCAAGTTGGTCATGGCTCCTGACCCTGTGGGCTTCCGTTTGTGTGTGTGAGAGAGATGCCCCAGGATGCTAACAGATCCTCCAGCTTGGCCTCCGGGTGGAGCTGGGGGAGGGAGTGGGGGTAGCCATGCTGCCCCCCATATTAGTTGTTCTGGACTCTAATATATGTAAAGTGCTTAGCACATACTCCTTGGTATTCAAGGATTGGTGGCCTCCGGGTGGAGCTGGGGGAGGGAGTGGGGGTAGCCATGCTGCCCCCCACATTAGTTGTTCTGGACTCTAATATATGTAAAGTGCTTAGCACATACTCCTTGGTATTCAAGGATTGGTTATTATTATTGTGAATACCCTGCCGGAGGGTCCGCTCCCTGGGGAGCCCAAGCAGTGAAACTGGGAGGGTGGTGGCTCAGGTTCAGCTCTGTGTGTCTTGTGTACCCTTGTCCTGCCCTGGGAGGTTGGAAAAAGGAATGGTGGGGGAGGGAAAGGCTAGCCTGAGGGTTGGGGGGAGAAGTCCCTTCTGTGTCTTTGCAGCTCCTAGTTGGGAAAGGGGTGAGAGTCGGCTAGCAGGGCCAGACATTCAGCTGTTCCCTCCCTGTAGCCTGCACTCCTAGCCTCCCCATTTGGGGGCTTGAAGGGCAGAGTGGGTAGACTTCCAGGGTCTTGGGCTGTGATCAGAGGACAGGGCTATGAGGACCCTTGGCAGTGAAGATGAGTTCAGCCACCAAGTTTCATGGGCAGGGGTCTCGCCTCCCCTCACTCCAGCTTTCCTCTTGGCTGTCAGCATGTTAGGGCCATTACAGCTGAGCCTGGGTGCCCACTGTTTACATGCTCTCTGGCTCTTGGCCCTCCCTGCACACTTGGGGTTCACCAAGACTGCACCAGGGGCCTCTGGTTTTCTGTATCAATGGGGTCTAGGACCCTTGCTTGCTCCCCTACTGAAGAAATACCCCTATCCTCTGATTGATTGAAATCCCCTCCACCTCCACGCAGGCACACACAAACACTGTAACCTCAGATTTGCCTATAGATTGAGGGAAATAGGGCCCCCCCTTTTGAGGAACTCCCCCCAGCCACCATTCTCCTCCCTGTTTAGGCCAGGGGTGAGTGGAATGTGGGGTGCAGAGCTATAATCGGACTAGGAGCGGGGCCTAAGGTGAGGGAGGGTGTCTGGACCTTGCGTCCTCTTATACTTGAGTAACATCCAGAGATCCCTGTCGCCAGCTATTATTAAGCCATGGGGACCGGTGTCTCCTCAGCTGGTGAAGGCATGCTCGCTGAGCCCCTCGGTGGGGTGGGGGTGGCGGCTGTGGTGGCAGCGGGAATGGCCTTGGGGATAACTCCCTAGGGAACCTCTGGGAGTGGGAGCCCATCCCTTCCTCAAAGCTGCAGCAGCGGCCACTGCAGAGGGGCTTGGGCCTGGGATTGTTGTGGTTTGCTCACTTGTTCGAGTTTTGCCACCTCCCCCAGTCCCTGTTTGTCCCCATCTAGCCCTTCTGAGCTGCCCAGGAGGGACAGGACAGGAGCAGGTATTTGGGGGAACCAGTTTGTTTGTGACTACCCTCCCTTTATCCAGAGCTGCCACCGCCACCGCTGTCTGTCGCTGGCAGTGAGCTCAAGCCGAAGGTGCCATGGGCACGGCCTCGCCACCCAGCCTTCCACTAATTAAACAGCAGAAGAGGCTGAATCACCAGGCAGGCCTGCATAGTTTGAAAATTGTAGCTCTGCCTGTTGTGCTGAGTCAAACTGGTTTGTCAGGATTGGGCAGCTGGTGGGGGGTGGGAGGGGGGCAGGCACCCGGAGATGGGGACTGTAGGGTACAGTTGGGCACTTGATGGATGGAAGAAGCCCCCTGTCCCAAAGGGCAGGGTCTTCCCACTGCTTTCTTCCCTCACACCCTGACCAGACTCATTGGGGCCAGAGCCCTGGGAAAGGGCTTGTGGCGGGCCTGTCCGTCCATCCTCTGGCTGACTGACAAGGGCTCGAGGAACACAGGCCTCTGGGTGCCCTGCCCTGCCCTGTGCTTCTTACTGCCTTTTCCTCCTTCTTGGGTTTATTTCATTAGAAATCCCCATGGTCCCAGTGGGGAGGATGAAACACAGAATGTGTTCTCGGTCACGGGAGCCAGGGCGGAGGGATAGGGGAGGGCCTAGAGAGGCAGACCCTGGGGGGTCCCATGGCAGGGGTCCCCGGAGACTCTTCTCCCTAGGCTGATCCCCAAGTGCAGGTCCCTTGGGTTGGTTGGCTGAGGTGGAGACCCCTGGGTGGGGGGCCAAGTGCAGGGGTGCTTGGAGTGTCCTCCCTCCCTTCTCAGGCAGTGCCTCCAGGTGTCCTCCTGGCCGAGCCCTGGAGCCTGACCTTCTGTGTCCCTTCAAAGGCCCTGGACTGCAGTGTGGCCTGGAGGCTTCTTGCTTCTCATTCTCTGGGTCTCCAGGACACCCTTTCTCCTAAGGCAAAGGGGTATTGTCGGGTCCTGCAGCTCCCAGAAGCTGGATGGCCCTTGGCTAGAGCAGGTGGCAGGGTCCCGCCTGGTGCCTGTGCACCAGGGTGTCTTAATAAGGGTGTCAGACACTAGCCAGGTGTCCGCGATCCTTTCCCACACTGGGCTTTCAGCTGGTGTGGAAGAGTGTTACCAAAGTACCTGCGCCATATCCCGTGCCACCCACTCCCCAAGGGTTCCTAGGCCCTTGAGCCGGTGCCATTGTGCTGGTAGGGCAGTGACCTGGTACTCCGGCAGGGACTGCACCTGGGAGGCCCCACCCGGCCCCACCCAGAGCCATCTTCATGGCTCTGCTCCACCCTGAGCCCTGTGACCTGACTGACAGCTTCTCTGGTCAGAGCCTGGGCACCAGGAAGCTAGCCTGGGACTTGTTCCTCACTCGTTAGCCCCTCCCCCGCCCTTCCCTGTGCCCCTGCCAGGGCTGTCCCCACACTGCTGCTTTCTTCCCAAGGGACCAGAGTGACTGCCCTGCCTGGGCAGTTGAGGGCAAGGAGAGCAGCAAGCAGCCAGAGCCTTTACCTTCTCTACCTCCACCTCCACCTCACTTGAAGACACATCCCACAGAAAGACATACTTGTGTGTGTGTGTGTGTGTGTGTGTGTGTGTGTGTGTGTGTGTTACGTACACGGAGGGCAAGCTGAGGCTTTACACCACCAACTCGAGGTCTTGATCCTCCCCCTGCATATGTTCCTGTGGGGGCAGTGGCATGTGGCAGTGGTGGGCACTGGGTGTGTAGCTGGTGTGTGGCGACGTAAACGCTGTGGCTCAGTCCGTGTGGGGAGACCGATGTGTGTGTTTTCATTTGATTGCGCTCAGACTGCGGCTTGTAGCTAGCGACGGTGTGTGCAATTGGGTGTGCACGAGAGTGTACCGTCAAGTGCACGCCTATGTCTCTGGAGCCCGGCCCGTGTGCAAGGGAGAGGTCAGAGTAAGCCTTTGCCTCAGGTCAGACTGACTGCTTGCACCACATGTGTCTCAGGAAGGCAGGCCGGGGCTGTGTTTGTGGGCGGCTGTGGCTTTGTTTGTGTGTTTTGTTCACCATGTGTGTTGACTTGTTGATTTGCGCCAGTGGTGGGGACTGAGCCCGGCCACCGAGAACGGGGTGCTGTGTGCATATCTGTGTGTGTGTGCACATGCGCGCGTGAGTGTGCACGCAGGCGAGAGCCACCCAGCTGCTGCCACGTGGCTGCTCTCTGTGGCCCTCTGGAAACCCGAAAGGGGTGTTGCTTCATTCACTGGTGAACGTTGAAGAGCCCGCGCCCCAGAAAGAAAAGCCCAGGCCCGGCGCCCACTTCTCTGCTGGCATTGGGCGGCTGTTGAGGTTCCTGCCTGACACTGAGCCCTGTGTCTGGAGAGTGGCCTGCCTTTCCCCTCATCTCTCTCCAGCAGCCAACTGGAGGGATGGGGTGCCCTAGGCAGCTGGGGGAGTTTGGAGGTGGCTCCTCCATCCCTCTTTTGTCCTTGTCCCCTGTTGTTCATATCTTCTGCCCGGCATGTATCTGTGCACATGCACTCGCCACACATGGAGCAGAGAGAAGCGGGCTCTCTCTGTCATGGGTTCTGTGGGCCCACACCCACACCCCCCCTTCTCTGTCCAGGCAAAAGGCCAGAGGTTTCCTGCCAGAGGTGGCACCCAAGTGGAACCTAGCCTTTCCTCTGGGGCATGGGCAAGCTGTCAGGAGCAGACCCCCTCCTCCAGAAAAGTTGGGAAAGCGAGGCCCCCCTCCCCACCAGGGTGACCGGAGCCCTTCCTCAAGCCCACATGATTGGAAATCCAAGTCCTCTCCTCATTAATGGGAAAAATGTGCCGAGATTGAGCGATGGCCAGGGCTGAGCGATGGCCAAGCCTATCCCCTCCCTCTCTCACTCCCCAGAAATTAAACAGAAATGAAGAGCCTCCCCACCTCCCCTCCCTCTCTCCGAGCGAGCCAGCGAGCGCGGGGCTTGTTTTAAACTGTGGGGGGATCTGGCTGGTGGGGGAGGGGGCTGAATATTCGGGTTTAAACAGTTCCAGATGGGTTTGGCGCAGGCAGAGCAGAAGGAAGCGAGGGAGCGGGAGGAGGAGGCAGTGCGCGCGGGAGCCCAGCCTGCTCCGGCGGCGGGCAGCGGCGGCGGCGGGCAGGCGGACTGGCGGGCGGGCTGGCGGGGGGAAGGGGCGCGCTTGGCTCGGATGGATCCCAGGGACAGGAATACTCCTGGCTGCGGGCGGGGGAAGAGGCCACTTGGCAGCCCCCTCGCTGCCCCTGCCTCGTCTCCTTGGGCCCTGTCTCTCCATCTCACTGCCTTTTGTAGTGCGCCGCCGGCCCTCCCTGCTGTCTGGTCCCCGTCCTCCCGGCCGCTCCGCCCGCTCATCCCCGGGCCCCGTCCCTGCTCACCACTGCTCCAGTGTCTGTGTGTCCGCCAGCCTGCCTGCCCGAGGCGCCATCAGGCCGCCGACGGGCCGAGCGGGTTCACCTGCAGCAGGGCCCTCCATGGACGGAGGCTCGGCCGCTTCCCCCCGCGCGCGGCCCGAGGACACGGGAGCTCCACCCGCTGGGCTCTCCGCCGCCCTGCGCGCAGACCCGGGCGTCAGGGAGCCAATGAACGTGGCCGACCCGGAGCCTGTGCGGCCTGGGGCTTTGCGCCCGCCCGCCGTCAGCGCCCCGGCTTCAGTGCTGCGGAGCCGCGGGAGAAGGCTGCTGGCCCTGGCGCTGCCGGGTTACAGGAACGCGTGGACACCTTCTCTCCCACCTTTCCTGCGCTGTGGTCTGAGCACGGGGTCAGCCTGGGCTTTTGGAGAGCAGAGCTGGCCAGTTCGAGCACAGAGCAGATGCCCAGGGAAGCTAGTGTAGGTCCGAAACATTCCTGGGCCCTGCTTGTGCAGGGCAAGGGGAAATGGAACGCAGGATTAGTGCCGAGACAAAGCCCTGGCCCACCCGCCCGCCCGCTTCCCAGAGGTGGGGGGTGGGGAGCTCAGTTGGAACTTAAAGTGAATACAGAAATAATCCAGGGTTTCACTGTTGCCCACTTTACAGAGGGTCGTCTGTCCCACATAGGGCCCTGGTTATGGGGTTAGATTTGGGGTCAGATAGATCTGAATTTGAACCACCCTTCAGCCCGTCACCCCAACCTTTACCATAGGCCATGTCATATTTTCACTCCGTTAACATGCATTCAGTTTCCTATGCAAGCTACAAACCCTATTCACATGGGCTCTACAAGCTACAAGCTCTGTTCACGTGGGCCTGTCATAGAGGAGAATGTGGTAGATGGGCTCTATCTGCCCTTCAGCAGCACCTTCTACCCCAAGAACTGAATGCGCTCTCTTGGAGCTGGTTCTGCATCTTGGTTCCCACACCACCTCCAAAAAGCATTCCAGCTCGTCTCCCTTGGGTGTGTGGGTGGGAGGTGAGAGCTCAGGAGGCTGGCTCTGGCTAACCAGTCCCCGCCGCCGCCGCCCCCCCACCCCCTCCTGAAGCAGTGTGTGGGGCTGGGCCTTTGTGCTGGAAATGGAGTCAGGGGAGGCCAGGGCAGCCTGGGCTGAAGCACACAACCCTTTGTTCCCAGATAAAGGCCCTGCCGGCCTCTTTGTGTGGAGATTAGCAGAGCCTGTAGGTGTGTGAACCGGCCCCTGGCTCCTGCCTCATTAACCCTGGCCTGGGGTCAGCAGCAAACACCCACCCCCAGCCAGCCTGACCTGACATCTCACTGGGACATCTCAGGCCTGGCTGGGACCTCCTCTGCTGGGGCTTTGGGTTTAGGGCATGGTTCCAGTGGCACTGAGCCTACTGTGCCCATGCCCTCCCCGGATCACCTCCTCTCTCTCCAAGCTGAGCTTAGTCCCTGACCTTTTCCTCTGGTTGTTCTTCTAGAGACCCTCATGGACACGAAGTGGGTGACTTCCGAGTTGGCGTGGACATCTCACCCAGAAAGTGGAGTAAGGCTTCCTACCGTCTATCGGGCCTCCTCCCCTCTGCGGGCCTGCCACCCTCTGCACTTGCCCTCGCCTTGCGACCTCACCCGCCCATCTTTCTTTCCTTCATTCACATATCACACAACTCAATAGTTAATTCCTATCAAGAAGGACATTTTCTTCTTCTTTGTATTCCTGGTTATTCGTGTCATTATTTTCATTCTTTCCTGATGATCATCTCTGTGGGAGTTCTCTCTCTCTCTCTCTCTCTCTCTCTGGCTGCCATGTACCCTGCACACCATCTTTGCCCTCCTCCTCCTCTGCTCACCTCTCAGTTTGTCTCCAGCCTGCTCCATCCCCCTCCTGCTGACAGTCCTGTGCAGGCCTGGCCAGCTCCTCCTTCCTGGGCCCTTGGAAAGAGCCAGGAGCATTGCTGCCAGGTCTCTGACTTCCTATGAGATCTTGAGTGAGTCCCTTCCCCTCTCTGGGCCTCCATTTCTCAGCCACTGCATTTCTTTGGTATTGACATCGCAGACATCTTAGCTGCCACCTGGGATTGCACGCAGGCCTATGCGGAGCTTTAGGACACTGGGGCAGGATGGAGCGGTGGTCCTGAGTACACGCAGGCCCTGCACTTACCAGACCTGGCCAGTATGACCTTGAGCAAGCCTCCTGCTTCTGTAAGCCTTTGCTTCTAGAATAGGAGCAGCAAATGCACCCCTCCCAGAGTGGTGGTAAGGGTCAATGTGGTGGTAATGTCCATCTCCGCCCACCCCTGTCCAGCCTATTCTGACCTGTGATGACTCCGTGACAGTTTCCAAAGCTGTGAATCAGGATGGCAGCCGACAGCCTCATTTTTCTCTCTGAGAGGCTGATGATTTTGAACCACGAACCTTGTCAACGGTCAAACACTTCTCCCATAAGGCCACTGAGGCTCCTTGTAATAGCGACAGCTAGTGTTTATTGAATGCTTGCTATGTCAGATGTCTTTATATGATATAAAGTCACTTAATTTTGCGTAGCCTTATTATTCCAATCGGTTCTGTTTTACCGCTGAGGAAACAGAGACATGAAAGGTAATCAGTACCATAGTTAATGGAACCCTGGTGGCATAGCAGCTCCATGTGGGGCTGCAACCGATGGCAGTGAGTTTGGGTTTGGGAGCTGGAGGTAATAGTTACATAGTACTTGCCATGTGCCCAGCCTAGTTGGAAGCCTTTCTTTCTTTCCCTAGCTCAGCGTAGCTGGTATTTTTACCCTCTGTTACAGATGGGGAGATGGAGGCACAGAGAGGTTAGGTTAAGTGACTTGCAAAGCAAGTTGAGAGTTGAGATTAGAGCCTGTAGAGGCTCGCTCCAGAGTCTGTCTGTGAAGTCCACGTGGTAGACCTGTTTTTGGCAGGTACCTGCATTGACTCCATGTTTTTGGTTTGGTCCATGCGCAGTGGGAAGAAGTGAGTGGCTATGACGAGGCCATGAACCCCATCCGCACGTACCAGGTGTGTAATGTGCAAGAGTCCAGCCAGAACAACTGGCTGCGCACGGGGTTCATCTGGAGGCGGGACGTCCAGCGCGTCTACGTGGAGCTCAAGTTCACCGTGCGTGACTGTAACAGCATCCCCAACATCCCTGGCTCCTGCAAGGAGACCTTCAACCTCTTCTACTACGAGGCCGACAGTGACGTGGCCTCCGCCTCCAGCCCCTTCTGGATGGAGAACCCCTATGTGAAGGTGGACACCATCGCCCCTGATGAGAGCTTCTCACAGCTTGACACTGGCCGCGTGAACACCAAGGTGCGCAGCTTCGGGCCGCTCTCCAAGGCCGGCTTCTACCTGGCCTTCCAGGACCAGGGCGCCTGCATGTCTCTCATCTCCGTGCGGGCCTTCTACAAGAAATGCGCGTCCACCATTGCGGGCTTTGCCCTCTTCCCCGAGACCCTCACTGGGGCTGAGCCCACGTCTCTCGTCATTGCCCCCGGCACCTGCGTCCCCAATGCTGTGGAAGTGTCGGTGCCCCTCAAGCTCTACTGCAACGGCGATGGGGAGTGGATGGTGCCCGTCGGCGCCTGCACCTGTGCCACCGGCCACGAGCCAGCCGCCAAGGAGACCCAGTGCCGCCGTAAGTGGGCGCTGGCCTGGGGGAAGGTGGGAGGGAAGGGGAGGGCCTGGGCCGCAGCCACCTGCCTCCCCGCCCTCTCATCCACCGCCAGACAAGGAGGCCTGGCACCAGGTCCGGGGCAGAGGGAGGAAATGGAAGAGTGGGTATCAGGTGCAGAGAACGTGAGGAAGGAGGAGGGAATGGAAAGGAGATACTAAGATAATAAGAAATGAGGCAAGATAATACGAGAAAAGATGACGTTGAAGAGAGATGTGGACAATCCCTGACAAGCAGGCCTGGTGTACCTGGTCCAGGACTTGGGAGGCCAGCAGGGGGTCTGCTTTGTCCCACCCCGAACACATATTCCAGGTGTAGTAGATGGGCCCTGGGGCTGCTGAGCGCCTCTTGTGGGCCCTCTTGTCTCGGGGCGCCTTCTGCTCCTTAAGGGGGTGTGCATCCTCCTGGACCCCTGACCGCAGTGTGTGGCCTCCGGTCAAGTTACTGACCTCTTAGGCTCTAATGGGAGCATTGTTGGTGATTACTTTGTAGGGTTGAAACGAGGCCTGAGTGGGTAAATGCATATGAAGCCTTGAGCCAGGCCCTGGCAAGACCGTGTAGGGGCAGCCCCGCGCCTCAGGAGTCCTGGGATGCATGGAGACCCGGCATGCTCTTGTCTGTATTTTATCTCTGAGGCTAGGCGACTTGCCCCTGGTGGTTAGCCAAGACCCTTAATAAGATCTTACAGAGAACTAGACGCTCCTGTTACAATGCCCAATCGCACAGGTGCTCGCCTCCACACACCCGGTTACCTGGGTCGCATCCAGTTACCTCCTCCATTTGGCCAGTAAGGAAACTGAGTCTCTGAGGGGTTCAGGACCCACGGTCACAGAGCTGACAAGGCCTCAAGGGGAGCCTAGCCCGAGTGCTCTGCCCTGGCCCTCCATGAGAGTGTCCCCCTGGGGCCCGCAGCCTGTCACTCTGAAGGCTCTCATCACAGTACCAGGAATTGGGGGGGCGAGGGGTATGGCTGCTGCAACCTGGCTGTGAGACCAGCTTGCCCTGGGAAGGTGACTGGAACCATTCCTGGCCCTCCACTTGGCTCTGGGAACCTGCCTAGACTTCCTCTTCTGAAGGGGAGTAGGGGTGGGGGGTGATGAGCTGACAGCCTGAAGAGGCTCTGCAGGTCCCTGACAGGAAGTGCCTGCAGGTTCCCTTAGCAACCAGGCTGGCCTGGCCTCTGCCCCCCTCCCCCACGGGCTCCTCTGGAAGGGCTGGACTGGACTCTCCCTTTACTGGGAGACAGGAGATTGGCTCCCAGGGTGGGCACAGCCCATCTTTGGGCTGGGGTAGCATGTGGGTCAGGTTGACTGTCCAGACAGTCCTAATGTATGCCCATTATCCTGTGCCCTTTTCATTCTCAATACCCTCTAGTCACCTCTAGTGACAGGTGACAAGGCCACTCTCCAGAGAAGATGGGATGGGGACCTACAGAACTCATGCCCAGGGCGCTGCATGGACACGCAGCGGGAGGAGGGTCTTTAGGCTCTGAGCTCTGGGCAGCTTTGGGGCCTCTGAACTCTGAGTGACCCCAGAGGTCCTCTGGCCGGCTCCCCTCCTCCCCACCCCCAGTTCCCACCCCTGGCCAAGGGCAGGACGGAGCTGCCCCCTGACTGGTGGGAAGCTTGACTGTGAAACTGAGGCCCCACCTCCTGGCTGTTGGAGGGGTTGTTTGTCTTGAGGGTCCCCAGGAATGCCCTTCCTAGGGCTCCAGGGAGGGGTGGGGTGTCATGTCCCCGCCCAATGCAGGGCACTGCCAGTCCGCTGGTGGTCTGTCGTTCCTGTGCCGCCTCCTCTTCCTCCTCCTCTCTCTTCCCTGCCTCAACAAGCCCAGGCCGTTCAGGTGATAGGGCTGACGTCTTCCTCCTCCAAGAGGCCCCGGGGGGGAGGTGGGGGGTATAATCTGCTGACATGGGGTTTCCATGGGGCAGAAGGGCCTTTTGTGGCTGCAGCTGGAGTTAAGTAATGCCCGCCTCAGTTGCCCCCACAACCTCGGAGGTGGGGGCGCTAGATTCTCACGGAGGTGGAGAAGATTGGTGTCTGTAGGGCTGGGAGGGGAGGTGAGCCCTGCCTTCTTCATCCCCCCCACTGCAGCCTGTCCACCTGGGAGCTATAAGGCGAAGCAGGGGGAGGGGCCCTGCCTCCCCTGTCCCCCCAACAGCCGCACCACCTCACCAGCTGCCAGCATCTGTCCCTGCCACAGCAACTTCTACCGCGCGGACTCGGACCCTGCAGACAGCGCCTGCACCAGTGAGTGGGCACGCCCCAGCCCCACGCCTGCCCTTGGGGGCTGAAGGTGCCGCTGTGAGACCCCCGCTCTCCAGAGGAGCAAAGTCAGAGAGGGTAGCTGCGGTGCCTTCCATGGCACTGCGGGGAGGTGGCCCCATGACCTCCCGGAGCCCGAGCCTGGGCCTGGCCGGTCCTGCCCAGAGGGGCCTTGGTGGGACAGTGTTGGCCCGCTGACTGTTGAAGCCCCCTGACCCCCAGCTCCCAGTCACAGAGACGGGACTTTCTGTCCACTAAAAATGGACGGCCTTGGGGTCCCCGGGGAGCAGTTCCCCACTGCCCTCTGCGGATGCCATGAGTTGGAATCCCCGCAGTGTAGGCTTGTGAGTTGGTGGTGGTGAAACGCCCTTCACTGGGTGGCAGGAGCCCTGGTGGCACTGTGGGTGAAGTGTTGGGCTGGCTGTAAAGTCGGCACTTCAAACCCGTCAGCCGCTCCGTGGGAAACGGATGAGGCTGTGTGCTCCCGTAGAGAGCCCCGCTCTCCTGCACAGTCAGTCGCCATGACTTGCGGTTAGTTCTGTGGCATTGGGTCCCTACAGGCCAAGCCTCAGGGACCAGCACAGTGAAGGGCTCCTCCCTGCGTACAGAACTGCCTTCCTCCTGGTCCACACCTCATGTGTCACATGCCTGGGGCAGCCCTGCTCCTGGCCTTTGGGGTTCCAGGCCTTGGGCCACAAGCGATAGGGTCATCATGGCCAAGGTGTCAGGTAGGGGGCATGTGAAAGGCGCTCATGAGCATTTACTGTGCTGAGTGCTGAGCCAGAGGGGTGCCCAGGAAGGGCAGTCTGGGTGCTCGGAGAGAGCAGATGGTTGAATCACGGAAGGCTGCCTAGAGGAGGTGACCCTTCCAGCTGGGTCTTGAAGGATAAAGAGGCATTCGCCACGTGATAATTTAAGCAAAGCATTCTGCGTAGGGCAGCTGAAACAGCTTTGGCGTGGGCAGGGGCTCTGAGCAGGTGGCCCCAGCCCCCAGCTCACTGCCGGCTCCCCTGCCTTGGCCGCAGCGGTGCCCTCTCCCCCCCGGGGGGTGATCTCCAATGTGAACGAGACCTCGCTGATCCTCGAGTGGAGTGAGCCTCGGGACCTGGGGGGCCGAGACGACCTCCTGTACAACGTCATCTGCAAGAAGTGCCGGGGGGGCGGGGGTCCCCCAGCCTGCTCGCGCTGTGACGACAACGTGGAGTTTGTGCCTCGGCAGCTGGGCCTGACCGAGCGCCACGTCCACATCAGCCACCTGCTGGCCCACACGCGCTACACCTTCGAGGTGCAGGCCGTCAACGGCGTCTCGGGCAAGAGTCCCCTGCCCCCTCGCTATGCAGCTGTGAACATCACCACCAACCAGGCTGGTGAGCAGGCGGTGGTTAGGGTGGGTTGGGGTAGCTTCTCAATGGGACCCCAGGGGCACTAGGCCCTCCGCAGGGTGCCAGAGCCTGGGGAGCCCCTGGTGAGCCACCACTCTGCCCCCAGCGCCATCCGAAGTGCCAACACTGCACCTGCACAGCAGTTCGGGCAGTAGCCTCACCCTGTCCTGGGCGCCCCCCGAGCGGCCCAATGGAGTCATCCTGGACTACGAGATGAAGTACTTTGAGAAGGTCAGTGCCTCTCAGGGCAAGATTCCCTCCAGATGGTGTGGGACCCTCGAGGTGAAGGGCCCGGGTGCTGTGGGCCCATGGGGTGGTCTGCGAGCCGCTAAGGATGATGCCTCCTGCCCCCGGCACTGCAGAGTGAGGGCATCGCCTCCACAGTGACCAGCCAGAAGAACTCCGTGCAGCTGGACGGGCTGCGGCCTGACGCCCGCTACGTGGTCCAGGTCCGGGCCCGCACGGTGGCCGGCTATGGGCAGTATAGCCACCCGGCAGAGTTTGAGACGACCAGTGAGCGAGGTTGGTAGCCCCCCCGCCCCGTGCCTGCCCCAGCTGGCTCTCACCATGCCACCCTTCACCAGCCCCTCTCCTCTGCAGGCTCAGGGGCCCAGCAGCTCCAGGAACAGCTCCCTCTCATCGTGGGCTCGGCCACGGCTGGGCTTGTCTTCCTGGTGGCCGTCACCATCATTGCCATCGTCTGCCTCAGGTACTCCCCGCCCCGGGCTGTTCCTGTGGCCGACTAGAGCTTCCCATTAACACCCAGAGATGGACCATGACCCCCTCAGGCCCAGAGCCTCCTTAGTCTCCTTGCTGGACGAACCCCCTTCCATCTACAGCCACGTCCTCTCATCCCGTCCCCCATCGCCTGCCTGCAGCTCCCCACAGGCCCAGGTCTTCTGTGCTGCCTGTCCCTGTGGGCCCAGGACAGAGGGAGCTACGGGTTTGTCTCAGACCTCCCTTCCGCTCGCCCTCCACTAGGAAACAGCGGCGCAGCTCTGATTCGGAGTACACAGAGAAGCTGCAGCAATACAGTGAGTTTATCTCTTCCCCAAGCCTTCCGGTCCCTTGCCTGTGCCTTTGCTCCATGAGCCCATACCCTGGGAGCTGGCACCATTTCATGAGCCCCCTCCCCACTCCAGGTACTCGCAGCCCATGCCCCACTCACCCCAGGTACTTGCAGCCCATACTCCACTCATCCCAGGTACTTGCAGCCCCTACCCCACCCCAGGTACTCGCATCACAACCCATACCCCACTCACCTCTGGTACTTTGCAGCCCATGTCCCACTCACCCCAGGTACTCGCATCCCATACCCCACTCACTCCAAGTACTGTGACTCTATATCCCACTCCAGGTACTCACAGCCCATACCCCACTCACTCCAAGTACTGTGACTCTATATCTCACCCCAGGTACTCGTAGCCCATACCCCACTTACTCCAAGTACTGTGACTCTATATCCCACCCCAGGTACTCGCAGCCCATACCCCACTCACTCCAAGTACTGTGACTCTATATCTCACCCCAGGTACTCGTAGCCCATACCCCACTCACTCCAAGTACTGTGACTCTATATCTCACCCCAGGTACTCACAGCCCATACCCCACTCACTCCAGGTACTGTGACCCTATATCCCACTCACTCCAGGTACTCGCAGCCCATGCCCCACTCACTCCAGGTACTCACAGCCTTTGCCCCACTCACCCCAGGTACTGTGACTCTATATCCCATTCCAGGTACTGTGAGCACGTCCTCACTGCATGACCCTTGGCCCCCAAAGCAATTAGTTCTATAGGAGAGACAAGACACACACACACATACACACACACACACACACACACACACACACACAGGAAACAATTAGACAGCAATCAGTTATTGAGCCAGGTGTTCCTGGTATGATGGGTTGTGATAGTTCAGAGAAGAGGAAGGCTTCCTGGAGAAGGTGAGCTTCCTGGAGATTGGCAGGGCTGAGAGCAGCGGAAGAGGCATTCCTGGCGAGCAGGGCCACTGGATGGTGGTGGGCGGGTGGGGAGGGTGCCCAGCTGTGGGGGCGGTGAGAAGATGCTCCAGACAGCTGCTGGGAGGAAGGCTGGGTAGTTGTGGCCAGCACCCTTTGGAGGGTCGTGGAAGGCCAGCAGAGGAGTCTGGACTTGAATCCGTCCTAGGTAATAGGAAAGGCCTTCGAGCTGGGGAGTGGTACAATGGAGCATTGTTTCAGGAAGACAGTGTGGTATGTGGGAGAGGTTGGTGGGAACAACGGCCAGAGGCGGGCACCCCAGCCGGAGGCTCTTGCAAGCGTCTGAGTGTTGAAGGCCTGGACAGGGCTGGAGCAGTGGGAATGAGGCATCTGAGCAGTCTGACGTGATGAGAGAGAAGGGGGCAGGGAGAGCAAGAGAGGAGTCCCTGGTTTCTAGCCCTTCTAGTGATCATTCTCTTACTGGGCCCGCTAGGGTGCTGGCTGAGAGGAGGAGGGGCCAGCCCGCAGGAAGGTTGCTGACCGTGTCCCCAAGCGGAGGGATGTCTTAACCCGTGTGTGAGGGTTGAGGTGACCCCTCACAGTCCCCGTCCTATAGACCTTTCCCCTCTTGTGCCTGCTCTGGAGACGAGCTCTGGCGGCATAGTGGTATAACCACAAGTAGGCAGTTCGAAACCACCAGCTCCTCTCGGGAGACAGTTGAGATGTTCTACCCCCGTCTTAGAAACCCGCAGGGACAGCTCGGCCGTGTGCTATAGGGTCGAGGTGGGTCGGCATCGCCGGCATGAGTTTGGTTTGGGCTTTAAGCCTCCTCTCTGCCTCCAGTCGTTCCTGGAATGAAGGTTTACATCGACCCTTTCACCTACGAGGACCCTAATGAGGCCGTGCGGGAGTTTGCCAAGGAGATCGACGTGTCATGTGTCAAGATTGAGGAAGTGATCGGAGCTGGTGAGTCCCGGGGGCACAGTGGGGGTGAGAGGCCAGGGCCTCCTCGGGGGAGGGTGGTACCAGAACTGTTCCTACCCTGTGCCCTGCAGGGGAGTTTGGGGAGGTGTGCCGGGGCCGGCTGAAGCAGCCGGGCCGCCGGGAGCTGTTCGTGGCCATCAAGACGCTGAAGGTGGGCTACACCGAGAGGCAGCGGCGGGACTTCCTGAGCGAGGCCTCCATCATGGGTCAGTTTGACCACCCCAACATCATCCGGCTGGAGGGCGTGGTCACCAAAAGCCGGCCTGTGATGATCGTCACTGAGTTCATGGAGAATTGCGCGCTGGACTCCTTCCTCCGGGTGAGAGCCAGCCCCGCGCTCCTCCCGCCCCTGCCACTATCCCCACAAACAGATGGACCCTACCTGCACCCACAGATAACCCACGGGGGGGCCACAGAGCAGGGGAGCTCCAGTCCTTATCCAGAGCCAGGGTTCAGCTCCTGCTCTGCCCCTTCCTACCTGTGTGACTTCTGGCAGGTGACTTAGCCTCTCTGAGTCTCCGGTGCCTCCTGTACAATGGGAGCAGTCAGGGCGATCGGGCAAGTTCGGATGTTGATTTCCAAATGCCTGGCACATGTTAGAGCAGCTTGCTTCCTCTTTGTGCCCTGGCCGTGCTCGCAGGGATAGAGCCGCAATCCCTGGCCTCTGTCTCCATGGAGGGAGTGGGCAGACCAGGGCAGGCATGGGGCCAGAAGGAGAGGATGGACCCCGAGCCTGCCTGTTGCCTGCAGCTCAACGACGGGCAGTTCACGGTCATCCAGCTGGTGGGCATGTTGAGAGGCATTGCTGCCGGCATGAAGTACTTGGCAGAGATGAACTACGTGCACCGGGACCTGGCTGCCAGAAACATCCTTGTCAACAGCAACCTGGTGTGCAAAGTCTCTGACTTCGGCCTCTCCCGCTTCCTAGAGGATGACCCCTCCGATCCCACCTACACCAGCTCCCTGGTACAGACAAGCAATAGCCGGGAGGGTGGGCAGGTAGGTGGGCAGGCAGGGGTGGGACCCACCAGCTGGGGGCTGGTGGGCAGCCCTGAGTCACAGAGTGAAGGGAGTGTTCTCCCCACACCAGGGCGGGAAGATCCCCATTCGCTGGACTGCCCCAGAAGCCATAGCCTACCGGAAGTTCACCTCTGCTAGTGACGTCTGGAGCTATGGGATCGTCATGTGGGAAGTCATGAGCTACGGAGAGCGGCCCTACTGGGACATGACCAACCAGGATGTGAGTGGGGCCGGGGCAGAGCCCAAGGTGGGAGGGAGCTGAGGATTGGTGGGGGGGTGGCCGAGCAGGGCCTTCCTCTGACTCCCTGCCCTGGGCCAGGTCATCAATGCTGTGGAACAGGACTACCGGCTGCCCCCGCCCATGGACTGCCCCACAGCGCTGCACCAGCTCATGCTGGACTGCTGGGTGCGGGACCGAAACCTCAGGCCCAAGTTCTCCCAGATTGTCAACACCCTGGACAAGCTCATCCGCAATGCTGCCAGCCTCAAGATCATCGCCACTGCTCAGTCTGGGTCAGACCTCTGTCCTGCTCCCCTCCCCACCTTGCTGCCTCTGCCCAAAAGACTCACTGACCCCCCACCCCTTCTCCCCACAGCCTGTCCCAGCCCCTTCTGGACCGAACGGTCCCGGATTACACCACCTTCACAACGGTCGGAGACTGGCTGGATGCCATCAAGATGGGACGGTACAAAGACAGCTTCATCGGTGCGGGGTTCACATCCTTTGACCTGGTAACCCGGATGACGGCAGAGTGAGTGTCCCCGAGGGCAAGGCCGGGCGGAGGCGCCAGCCCCGGGCTGAAGGAGGGACTGACCCCATCCTTGGTCCCCTCTGCAGGGACCTGCTCCGGATCGGCGTCACCCTGGCAGGGCACCAGAAGAAGATCCTCAGCAGTATCCAGGACATGCGGCTGCAGATGAACCAGACACTGCCCGTGCAGGTCTGACACGATGCCCCGTGGGCGACTCCGAGGACCGAGCGCATGCGGCCCACAGAGGCTCCGAGCAGCCGGTTGCACCCTCGGACAGACATCTGGATGCCTGCCTGCCTTTGGGCTGTGGCCGGAAGATGGAAGTTTGGGGAGAGCCCCAACTGGGGCTTCTTCAGGCGGTGCTCCCTCCCCAGGAAGTGGGCCCCAAACCTCTTCATATTGAAGATGGGTTAGGAGAGGGAGTGTGACCCCTCCCCAGGCCTTCCTGCTCTCCTGGAGGGATCCCCACCACCTCAGACTTGGCTGTGCTTCCTTGAGTGGGGGGTAAGCCAGGGGTCCATCGGGCCCAGCCCTGGCAGGGGTCTGCTCCCCCCAGGTAGGCAGAAAGCAGTCCCTCCCTCAGGAGCTGGAGGAGGGGACTCCAGGAATGGGGAAATGTGACACCCCTACCCCAAAGCCAACTGGCACCTCCAGTTTTCACAGGGACTGTTCTGGGGCCCAGGGCCTTGCCCCCACCCCTGTCCTTGGTGCTGTCAAAAAAGGGCAGGCAGGGGAGGGCTACCAAGCAGCCCTGCACCCCTCAGAGACTCTCAGAGCCAGAGGTCAGATGCGTGAGCGTGAGTGTGTGTGTGTGCGTGTGCAGGAGTGCACGCCCAGGCTGCACAGAGTGTATGGGTGAGCGTGTAAAAGCTTGGCCCATGTGCTGCAGTGGGGCAGCTGGGCCGTCGGCGGAATAAAGGCAATAAGATGATTCTCTGACCCTGCCTCCTTGCGCCTCCCAAGCCATGAAGGTGATTCCGTTCACAACCTTGGTGCCCTGCCCCTTCAGAGCGAACTCTGGAATCCTTGGGAGACCACATCCAGGCCTATCTAGGTTCCATGTCCACCTTTTGTGCTTTGGCCGCATTCCTTTGAGCGGCTAACAAATGTCTTAGAAGGGGGGAGGGGGAGCAGTCACAGGAAGGGTCGCCTAGCTTCTTCCTTCTGGGGCTGGGGCGGTCTAGTAACAGACGGCCTTTCACACCCATTGTCTCCGAGAGGCGAGGGGGTTGGTCAGTTCCCAGGGTCACGTGGCCAAGGACAAAGGGGATGAGAGCCCACTAGTGTTGAGATGGGATGTGGAGGGGAAGCCCGCTCCCTCAGCTGAGCCCCAGCCCCAAAGAGGGGCTCCCCTTCGGTGAGCGCTGCCTCCTCCCTCCCGCCTGTGGCTGGGCTGAACGCTCCATTTGTGTGCTGATCGTATTTAATCTCTCCACCACCCAGCCAGAGCGGGAAGTATTTCTATCTTTTTCACAGAGGAGGAAAGGGAGAGGTTAAGTAACTTAGCCGAAGTCACTGAGCCAGTAAGTGGGGCCCGGGGCTGGGCTCCCACCCCAAGACAGAGGATAAATAACCGGCACCAGGGAGAGGGTTAGAAAAACAGCTTCTGGAAATGTCAAAGGAGAAGGCGCCATCTAGCCCAGAAGCAACAAAGCCCACATGGAAGCAGCACACCAACATGTGTGATCATGAAGGG